AGAAGTTGAAAATATGTACTTTTTTTTTGTTAACATGTGGTTTGTAATACAATTCGACATGCTCTCCCTGACAATGAGTGATGGGACTTCTAACAAAGTCACCACTAAAGATGGTGAAAAGCTAAAACGTGTCTAACAGTACAAAACAGTGAGGTAGGGAGACCAAAAAGTTTATGAACACATGCATATTTTTCGCATTGTAGCTTGATCATCCTCTGAGGTCAGCTTATTCTCAATTGTTTTCTTTGTCTGATTTGTTTCAGCATTTGGCCATCTTAGTCAGCAGCTATGAAGACGGTAAGAATAGGCAGAAGAGGTCACCCCGCACTGGCCTCCACAATATCTACTATTATTTTTTTAAAGTGTATCTGTTTAATAAAGTTTGGATACGTAAAGTAAGTCCATAGTTTTTTTTTTTTTTTTTTTAAGGTAAATCCAATGAAAATTTCAGGTACTTGTAAATAAATTTAATAAAAAATATAAGAACCATTTTGTTCCACTACCTGTTGCCATCGTTCACCAATTTTGTAATTCCCTTCTCTATAAGTTTTCTACCATCTTCAAGGGAAGTAAATTTTTTCTAATTAATAGAGTATTGAAGAGCTCAGAATAAATGAAAATCTGTAAATGCAATGTCAAGCGAATACGGTGGATGGGGTAGCTTATAGCCAAGATCTAACAATTTCTGGCAGGTTAACCTGGTGGAAAACATCCCCTTGGGATTAGCCAATGCTGTTCATCTTTGGTCAATTGCTGATTTTAATCACTCCAATCTTGTGCAGTATACACTAAAATTAACGGTTTGGTTAGGCGAAAAAAGCTCATAAAAAGCACCCATTTCCAATCTCACCACATGCACGTTACTTTCTTTGGATATAATCTCGATTTTGGGGTTGTGTTTTCCTCAGGATTTTCCTTCCTGAACATTGCTGTAAAGGACCCATTTTCATTCTCAGTTATCCATATTTTTAAAAATTGGCCGTTTACATCCAATATATGAAGGAATCGCAGATTGAAACATGGCCCAATAATTCTTCTAAATCAGCATTGTATGTTGATTGGAGAAACATATCCAGCTACTTTCAGATACACTTGTATGAAATATGTTAAATATCTCTATCTTTTTTTTTTTTTTTCATTTAGCGTGAGTTATTCAAGACAAAACTTGAATTTGGCCATAATCAAGAGTTAAGGATGACCTATGCACATTGTGTCCTCCAATTCAAAATTTCTGCTTTTGAACAAAGCAAACCAATTACTTTGGTGCTTTCTTCTAAAAGATTCAACGCAAATTTTCCTAGTAGTTTGATCTGCGGTTTTTCCAAAATAAAACCTAATTAACACGTTCAGTGATGGTGAACTGTACGCAAGTCATGGTACATATCGTTTTTAGGAGTGGAAAATTTTTGGAGGAAGGAGAGGAAAAATTCAATTATCAGGTTGCACTGAACATGTTAAAAGATAAAAATCCACTTATTTTTTCCTCCATTTCAACTTGACAAAACACTAAAAATGCGACATCTTGAACGAAATTGAATAAAAATACTTATAATTTTTTTAAGAAAAATTTTATGGTCACTAAATAATACTGCTTGAAAACACAAGAAGGAAAAAATAAAATTATTGAAAAAAATGCTACAAACTTATTTGACAAGCTTAGTTTGTTTTCTTTGCATTTTGGACATTGCCTGTGTAGAAATCTGCAAAATATGCCATTGATTTAACAAGTTCTTGATTGTGTCGTAGTTGGACTTATGTTCTTGTTAATCCGATTATAATTGCAATGGCAAATTAAAATTATAATGAATAACGTCAACGCGCAGTTCAACTTAAGTCTATCTTTTATGTGCTTAAAAGAGTTGAAAAAGTAGAAAACTATCTATGGTGAAACAAAATAACTCTCATTTTTTGGTTTACAGAAATGTATTAATACAAGAAAAACATTTCATTATAAAAAATTAATCAATTTTGTTAATTGAAATGTAAAAGAAAAACATCTACGTTGATATAAAAAAATCCAGATATCCAACAAAAAAGAAAAAGGTAAATTAAAATAAAATAACAGAAAAATACTAATACAATTTTTTGTCATTTATAATTCTCAATTATCTATAATTAAAAAATATACATCAATAAAATATTTTTGAACAGGTAATTCAATTTACTCTACAATTCTGACAACTATTTACAACTTTACTGAGAATCTCTTCCACTCCGTCTATTGGAATGAAGTGTTTTTTGAACATGGCAATCGATTTTTGATATGGAGCATGCACAGTAGCCATCGTATGTACAATGTAACAGAAAGACTTGATATGGTCCATATCAGCGACAATGCGAATTTCCGAATTGCCGTTGATGTTCACCTTCTGGCAAAGCATCATCCCTTTGATCAGATAACAAGGATTGACTGTTTGATCACCGCTCTCCAATTTGTTTATGAGCTCCTTCAGCTCATCACTGAGCATTTGTGTGTGCCTCACTCTTGCTTTGAAATCTAAAGGCTTTTTTTCACTTGCGTCATCTTGTTCTACTGGTTGGATCGTATCATTTGTGGTTTCTTCATTTGTAGAGTTGGTCTTCTCTTCAGTAATTGTTTCCGCTTTCTTTTCAGAATCTTTATCATCTTCGATAATCACTGAGGGAACTTCTTTCGAGGAATCACTATGTTTTTCTGTCTCTTCGACAATTTGTACTTCAGTTAAGTCAATTGTTTCCTCATTGTCATCATATAATTTTTGGTTGAACTGTTTTTTAGCTTGTTGGCGATAGATATAGAAACTATCACCAGATCTTCTCCTATCAGATGTTTCTTTTTTCTTAGAATCACTTAAATTGGCGTCTTGCTGATCGTCATGCTCATGACTATTTTTTCTTTCATCCAACTGTTTATGTTTACCGGATATATCGCTTTTCTCTAATTCGAGATCTTCTTCTTTATCTTTTGACTGTCTTGATTTTAAATTGACTTTTATTTTAGGCAAAACAAGAGCACCAGGTCTTTGGGAGAGCAATTCGTTTTTCCTTCTTTCACTAGAATGACTTCTTGTCCTCGGTCTCCTGCACTCTTTACAGTTCCGCAACACAATGCTAATGTCGTTTCTAACATCCCTTATGGCAAAAAAACACTTTTCTACAATATTTTCAAGCTCCGTCAAACGTAACTTATGGTTTGCATTGTGTGCTGCTACTAAACATTTGTAAATACAAGTCTTTGGAACAATCACTTGAATGCACTTGGAATTTTTTCCATCGTTTTCAATCCTACAAAGCATGTCATTCACTATAGTGTACATACTTCTTAAAGCATTATTTCCACTCATTATTCTATACTTTATACTAGCGCAAGTGTTCTCGTTCAGTTGAAATTTTTTAAGTTCTTCAGTGGCTCCTTGAATGGGAGTGAAATATTTGAAAAATTTTTTCCTCAGAGGTTTCAACTCCTCCTCCAGTTTTTCATCTTCAGAGATCGTATTAACATGATAAGGAGTCGACTGTGTAAAAGGATTGATGAAAGGTTGTGAAACACCAGGAATGCTTGGATTTTGGATATTGGTAACTGGGTTTTGAATGGGCAAAGGAGCAAGGGTTTGGTTTAAATTTATTTCGATATTAGCAGTATTAGTAGGTTGTACAATTTTACCAAAATTGGCATCTGGTGTAATCTGCTTTGCATTTGCTGAGACAGGAATCAAATTGGTACAGTTTTGATTTAAGTTAACAGGTGGCATGACAGGATTCGGCAAATTGGGTTGGATGTTCCATGTTGGATTTGAAAAATTTGGGTTCATCCAACCCATATTTGGGTTTGGCATCAAGGGCTGATTCCAATTTTGATTGAAATATTCAGGATTCGGTTGTGGAATGTAAGCGCCTTGATACAGATTTTGAGGTACATTTGATAGCATGTTAACAACTGGGTAATTTAAATTACCTTGGGAAGCAGGTGCTACAATCTGAGGATGGACAGGAGTAATGGCAGAATGGGGCATTTTCAAAGGAGAATCATGCGACTTTGAATGATTTCTCTCCTTGCTCTTTTTGCGACTCGATTTCTTTTTTGATTTACGGTCTCTATGTCTTTTGTCCTTTTTCGCCTTTTTGCTTTTATGACTATCATCTGGTGAATTTGAATCGCTTTCCTTAGAATTTTCATCGTGTTTGTTCGGAAAAGGCCGATACTCGATAGGAACTCTCGCATTCGACGTTTCGTTAATGTGTTTTGGATATATTCCCCAATATTCAGTTTTAGACTGGTTCATTGTCACGTTATCGCTTTGTAACTGTGCATTGCTCCTATCTTCAGTAGTTGCCAGTTCGGATAAACTCTTTCCAAACTTATCCCAATCGATCATCTCTTTGCTTAATTTTCCTAGGCTTTCAATTCGTTTATCCATTTCCACAGCGACAGGTTCTTTTGGCTTGGGCAGTTCGACACTCGAACAACACCAGATTTTCTCCTCCGTTTCAAATGCAAATTCTAAATACGGGTGGTGATTGAGCATTTGGCTTCTCGTGCTCCAACTCTGGGGAATAGGGTCTGGAATAAAAGCCCCCTCTCCATGCAACCTCTGCTTATAAAGCTGAGATATTTTCCTTTCACATTCGGTCACGATCTTTGTTTTTAACACAGGATCTTCGGTGTGCCTTTTGCTACCTGTTATAATCAAGAAAACTTAGTTTCAATTCTGACAAGTGATTAATTATACATATACACACTTAATATACTGTGTAAATAACCTGTGTTGTACTAACCAAAAAGCTGAGAAGAAATTTTAGAAAAATCCAAAATGTCATTAGAATAAGAAATATAACTACCACCAACAAAAACATTTTCATAATGAAAAAATTTATTTTAGTTTATCTGTCCTATACCTGTGAAATGTGTTGCGATACAAATGAAAAATATTTGTCAGCATTGTGCCTTCCAATCACACATTTTATTGTTCCAAAAGCCGGGGAAAAATATTTAATTTAAAAATATTCAATATGAAGCTTACCTGTACTTTCCATTGCGGCTTCTAGAAGACTGCTCAAACTAACATCTTTGTTGTGTAATAGCTGTAATAAATGTTTTCAAAATTAAAAGTTATTTAATAAAGAAAAGGCATATTTTCAAGCAAATACATCGTTTTAAAATGGAAATAAAAATATTGGGGAAAGTTATATAACGGAAAAATCTTTTATTCTTTTAACCAAACTGGTTCTTGACAAACTATCGTATATTTACATAACAAAATATTTATTATAATATATAATAAACAAAATAATAAAAATTGTCATATTTTAATTATGCACTACAAAAAATATAAATGCTATGGTAATGGTTTGTTATTTGTGTCATGAATAGAACCTTTCGGATCTATTCTAATGTATTTTATCAATTGAGGAAAAGGATAAAGTAAATTTTAATACTTACAGAAGAAATAAAGTCACTTTCTTTATCTTCTATTTTGTTTTGTCTTGTTTCATTTGGAGGCTTCTCTTTAAAAGAAGATTTATCTTCTTTTTTCTTATAATCTGAAAGAGATGGAGGCGGTGGGGGGGTTGGAATTCTTGTACATTTCTTCCATTCGCTCCTGTCAATCACCGGAGGTGATTTCTCTTTCACAAAATAATTATTTGGCTTATCATCAGTCGGACCAGGCCATTGCCTTTCGATATTATTCTGAATTTCTGATGTAATGACAGCCAGATCGTGCTGTTCTAGTCTAAGTCTATCATCGGATTTTTTTCTGTACAGCGTTTGCCTTTGTGATAAAAGCGGCAAGTCCATCGGTGCTCTATCTCTAAATTGGTATTCTGCCTCGCCCATCAAAGACATCGATTGAGGCATCGTCCTTTGCTGAGCACTCGACAAATGTTCGAATGATCTCTGAAATGTTTGAGACATTTGCTGCATATTTGTGGCCATTCTCTGAGGTGAGTCTAACGCCATGACTTGTCTTCCTTCATCCATCGATTGTCTTGAATAAGCATCGACGTTCCTTGTCATTTCTGCGTTGGCCATTCTAGTATTCCTCTCCCTCATGTGTTCGGGGTCATACCTCATATTTGAATAACGCATTGCTGAATTTATTTCACTTGCACCCATCTTCTGAAACATTTAAAATGTTTCATTAGAAGTTTTTTTTAACCTTCTATTAGACATAATGACAGTGAATTCCACAATACATACTTCATTCAGATTAACGGATCTAGAATATTTCTCAGCTGGTTCTTGATCATTCATTTCTGAAGGCCTTTTTCTTTCATCCCTAGAATTTATTACTAACATTGTCAAACAGTTGTTACATGTAAAATAATAAAATATGATTTACAAACTAATCCACTTTAGATAGTCAGCACCCCAAACAAACAATTATTCAACGCATTAAACAAAGTCGAACGTTGTACTATTCTCATTAAAAATCAATAGCTTACATAGTAAACTAGGGTATATTGAAATATCATAAAAACACGAATTAAAATTCTAAAAATATTTTACTGAAAGATGTATATGTTTTTCACTGTGCACTTAGATAAATAGATGATATTTATGTAACATTTTGTAGCTTATTTATGTAAAATTCCTCACAACAAACGATCAAAATCATATCAACCATGATTTTTGTGTGTTTCACGACAAATTCTTTAATCAAATTAAAAGATATATCAACCAATTCATTGATGACATATTAGCAAATTTGTTTGTGCAGAAAATGCTTTAAATTTTATTTACCGGACATTTTTATTTGCGTTTTAGGTACATAAATTTTTTTTTTAAATTGGGGGGGGAGTAAAAGTTAATTTGGTGGGTTAGATAGAAGGTCATGAGGCCATCGTCGTTTTAAATGGCGTGGAGGATTGTAAGGGTGAGATTTTGAGGAAAGAGTTAGGGCTAGTGAGTTAGGATGGAGGGAAAGTTTAGAGTGAAAAGTGAAGAAGCGTGTATGGATAAGATCTTTCACGAAAGGGATTTTAAGATCATTATGGATCGTTTGATTTGTGACGTAGAAGGGAGCATTGAGGATACGTCGGAGAACTTTAGATTGAAAAGACTGAATTCGTTGGATATTGGATGATTTGGCCGAGCCCCACAGCTCGACTCCGTAGGTCCAAATAGGTCTGATTAGTGTTTTGTAAGTGGTTAGTTTGTTATGTATGCTTAGTTTTGATTTTGGTCCAAGAAGGTGTCTGAGTAGTCCATATCTTTTGTTAAGTTCTTGCCGTTTTAATCGTGTATGTGGGTTCCAAGTAAGTCTACTATCTAAGTAAAGCCCAAGGTAGCGGACTTGGTTTAATGGTGGTATTATAAATGGTGGTATTATACATAAAAATTAAGTATGAAAAGTCACAAGCCAGAAAAATTGGCATATGTTTGATGATAATTATCATAAACTTAGGAATTATCAATGAGTCAAGATAAATTCTATTCTTGTTTAATTATATGTTCAAGTAATTCACAATATGTTTTGTTTATAATTAAATGATAAAAGAGGAAAATTGTTTCTCTACATTTAAGAAAATACTGGTGATCAACAAGACTTTGTAGGTTAATTTATATTTACTGATTTTGCTTGTTCTTTTTGGTTTTGATATGCTTTTCTCTTGTACTGAAAGTTTAAAAAAACAAGTCTACAAATTACTTCCTATGTAATTTAATTTTTTTTAATTTATTCACCACTGAATAGTGGATATGGTCAAACCTTACAAACTATTTTCAAAATAAAGAGTTAAATTTAAAAAAAATTGTTCCCCCAAAAAAAAAGTATTTTATTTATTTGGCTAGGGTGTTTTTTTTAACATGCATGCAATGTGTTAAAAAAATGTTATGTACATGGTGTTACTTTCAGAATTAAGGGACTGTGGAGGAGAAGTGATTAGGGGGTGCTACTTGTATTTGCCATGCTAGCGGTTCTGGGTTTGAATCCCAACATAACCCTTGCAATTTTAATCATCAAAAATTTATGAATGAAAATTAAAAATAAAAACCCGTCTTTTTAATTGAGAATAGTACGACCTATTCTCAGGAATTGGATACCTTTGAAGGTCATCTCCAAACTTTGAACATGTTCACATATTCCATCAATCAACAGTCACAAGTTCTACTTTGTTTTCTTTTAGAAAATCCTTTAAAACAGGAAAACACTCCACCTTTTCATGCTCAACAGATTCATCCCAAAACTGGATTTTTCTTTTGAAGGCGCGGTATTTGAAAGTTTTGAACACATGAATGCATCCAAAAACTTCATTAATTTTCATGAAGGACAGTATACATTGTCATTTATCATCATTGAAAACGTTGGCCAATTTGACATTATTATCCATAACAGAGATAAGATTTCAGAACATCCAACAATCAACAAGTGCTTTCCCAGCCACCTCCTCACTTCTTTATGGAGAAGCAGGGAATGATGAAAGCTTCCCATACCATCATCATCAATCGTCATAGTATTGTGAAAAGTCAAGACTTCAATGGCTCTGACTTAATACAATTAATAATTTGAATAGACTCATCCAAAATTTTCTTAAAAGAGGCTTGCATTTGTTTCATAGCTATGTCTGTGGAAAACACAAAGACTGCTGCTGCGACACTTCGATTTAAATTTAATTTTAATTAATATTTTTATGTAAGCTTTTTCATTTCAACCAAAACCTTACATAAAAAGATTAATTAATTGAAAGAAGTAATTTGGTCAATAGACAATATAATGGATTTTATTTTAATCATCTGATCATTTGGTCAGACATTGCTTTTGCACCTTTTTAAAAAGATTGTTCCTACTCCCAGTAAGTTGTTTTGCAACAATCCGGATTTCAAGCTTTTAGCTCATCATCAGGTTGAAGGAGTTCTGCAAAACAACTTAAATGTAAGAACTATCTTTTTAAAAAGGATTGAACACCGCACTCGCTCCATCATTCATCATTTCTGTTGCTTTTGCACTGTTCACACATGAATGCAATTAGACCATGGAATTTCATTAATTGTAAAATCATCCAACAAACAGATAACCTCCTTGAAGCCAACTCTGCGACGTTTGGAGGAAAAATGAATTGAGTGAAAAGAAACCAGCGATTCTGTCACGTGATTTGATAAATCAAATATATGTCTTTTGACAGTTTGATTGTTTGATAATGGCATCAAACATATAAGTTTTTGTCATGCATGCAAGATACAGATTTACACATGATTTTATGAGGGTTTCAGTGGTGGTATGAGTTTTTGCATAAGTTTTAATGAAGGTAAGAGAAGCTTCCTCATGAAAACATCAGTCTATTTCTCCCAGAGTTCTGAGTGTGGGCCCTCCCTCAAAATGGCGATGCAGTTTAACTGGAACCATTGATCTGTTTGGAAGGACTTTCGTGCAAATCACGCAATGAGCTTTATCCTCATCAGCCTCTATAAATCACAAATCTAAGTAGCTGTTGTGATACTAACACTTTTTAGATGTCCCACTTCCACTGGCTATTTGATCTGCACCTATTCAGAGACATGTAAAGTTTGAGCATGCTGGATCTGGTGCTTTATCTAAAGGCTGTTCTTCATCTGGCTTGTCGTCAGTAAAATCCTCATTAGAAGGTTGTCATGAGTTCAAATTCAGTGCTTTCCTGGCTGTATAGGTGATGGAGAAAATATATGCTTTCTCAAAAATCCTGACTTCAGCAACTGATCCATATTGGAGTAAATAACTGGTCAATGAAAATGACACAAATAGGTAGTACATTCACGAGAGATGTTTGAGCAATCACATTATCGAGAAACAATGGCTTTTTCCAAAAATTCTGTGGTTTTCCAGAAGCAGCAGTTCCTGGTAATGAAAGATTCCAGTATCAACAATGAAATTTCAGGAAACTGATGGACCATCCAATCAAGTCCCATAGGTCTCATTTACCTTACCTATTTTGTTGTGGTGTACAAAAATAAACATAGAGTGAATAAATAAAAATAAAAAACAATTAATTAAGGTTTTTTAGTTGAGATAAAAAAGACAATGGCACAAGCGCGATTTGAACCCACGATCTTTGGCTAGATACACCGCTGCTCAACGACTTGAGCTATCGTGACCTCGATCCACTCGGACACCAACTTCTCATCTCACCTTTTGAATTTTCCCTCCTTTTTGCCATTTTTCAAACGTCGTGTAATCGGATTGGATTCTCAACAACAAATGAAATGGCCACGAAGAGCTTTAGTGAAGTATACTTCATTTTAAGTCATTAAATTCACTAGTTTCGTGGTCCGCTTGACCAATATATTACAATTAATTGAGGTTTTTTATTGAGATAAAAAAGTCAATGGCATGAGCGAATAATTGAAAAATGGCAAAAAGGGGGGAAAATTCAAAAGGTGGGGTTGAGATGAGAAGTTGGTGTCCGAGTGGATCGATAGCTCAAGTGGTAGAGCAGCGGCGTATCTAGTCGAAGATCGTGGGTTCAAATCCCGCTCGTGCCATTGACTTTTTTATCTCAACTAAAAAACCTTAATTGATTGTAATATATTAATTGGTCAAGCGGACCACGAAATTAGTGAATTTAAAAATAAAAACATTCATTTTCAGTACTCATTGTTATTGTTTTTTAATTGTATTTATTCATTCTACTTTATCTTTGTAATTATTAATTTTTTTAAGTTCTCACAGACCCTCTAGGTTAGGGTAGGCATACCCCCAGGGGGCTGGGGACCACAGTTTGGGAATCCCTGGCATAAATGATTTAAAAGGTATTTATGTAATGTTGGTGTGGTACATTATCACCAATGAATGAAGAACTCGAGGAAAGTCAAACAAGAGCCAAAATAAAAAGGCAGAACCTGACAGGCAGAGCCAAAGGCATTTCTCTGAAAGAGGTTAAAGTATTTTGTTCTTCTTCCTTGAATTACTTCAACATTGTGTACAATATACTAATCATTTAAAATTTTCAGTATATCCCTATTTGTTGTGCCCAATCAAGTCAAATGATAACAATAACAGCTTGCTGTTCAGCCCCAAGTTGGATAGTGTACTGCATTGTCACAATTGAATATTTCTCTATTCTCCTAGATAATATGGATGTAACTGTGACCTATCTAGTTCATTCCAACTGTGGCTTTAGGAACCTATGAAAATGTGCAGATAATTTAAATAATGTTAGATGGTACACTACATTGACAGTATCATCAAAGAAGAATTCCATACCATCTTAGGTTAATTTTGATTTTTATATAATTTAATTTGTGTCGTAGGAAGTTCACAATATTCTACACTAGCAGCAGAAACCGATGACCTAACAGAGCAAAAAGGCGGTTCAACACTAGCAACAGAAGACACTTAAGTTGCAGGTTGAGTACGACAGTCATTCCAACCGTGTTTTTATTTATTATGGTTCTATTATGTTTATTTATTTATTTTCATAGATATTTCATTTGTTCTAGAAGACTCCTATACTAATAGAACAATTAGGTTTTTAGGATTTTGACAAAGTGTCAGAGCCTGAGGTATTTCTGTAAAAGTGATGAAAGCGGCTTGCCAGTCTACCTCGAGTTACTTCAATTATATGTAATATGCTAATTATGTTAAGTATTATTGTGCTGATGTTTTGTACTTTGTACAATTGAATATCAATGCACAATTTGTAATAGGTAAATGTGTCTGTGGAATGTTGGATGGTGTACATCACCGTTGAATATACCCCTATTCTCATAGGTCATTTGGATGTCGAGAATTGTAAATACTTTTATTTCAACTATGGCTTTAAAAACTTGGGAAAATGTGCAGATTATTTAAATTGTGGGTTTGTTGGAAGGTATACTATACATTGATGGTATTACCGTTGAAGAACATCATAGATCAAAGGTCAATTGTGGTTTTTAGATAATTTAATTTGTCCCATGGGATGTTCATGTTCTTCACTAGTGACAAAAATTGATGTAATCAAACAAAGCTAAAACGGTGATTCAACACTAGCAACAGATTATTTGGAGATCGTGAGATGCAGTTTTGTGTGATGTAGGTTTAGAAAAACATTTTCTTTATCATGCCAACATTTCTATCCTTATGTTGAACCGGCACACGGGCACTATGGGTCTGTCTTCAGTCGCGGGATTTTTTTTGTTTGAATAACTCAAACAAAAAAAATCCCGTGAGTGAAGACAGACCCAGTAGTGCCCGTGTGCCGGTTCAATATGAGTTTGCCAACTCGCAGACCAAACCTCATCATCTACTATTTCTATCCTTATTAAGATCATTTTTAGGGCCTGGGATTTATAAACATTGTTCAAATTATATAAATACATGTAGGATGTGAAAAAATGAGTTTATACAATGCTAAAAATTTTAGTTTCAATCAAAGTATTTGTACTCACTCAAAGTGTTTGTTTTCTGTGTAGATGTATGTATATACATATAGTGTATCTAGATCTACACTATTGACAGAAACATATAGATCATAACAGATAAGAAAAGAGATTCAACACTAGTGACAAACGGCACTTGAGTCGCATATTGAGCATCACAGTCATGTCCCACTGTATATACTAATTATTCCAAGTCTTCTATGTATATGTTTTTTGGTTTGCACAATTGTCATTTGATGCCAAGTATTTTGTCAAATGTAATAGGTAAAGGTGTCTATGGAATATTGGATGGTGTACTGCACAATCACCATTGAAGATTCTCTTGTTCTATTCTCTTTGTTGGAAGCTATACTATACATGATGGTATCATCATTGAAGAACATCGTAAGTCATAGGTCAGCATCATAGGTCAATTGCGACTTTTAGATAATTTAATTTGCCCATAAGATTTTCATGTTCTACACAAGCGACAGAAATCAATACAACTTAACAGATCAAAAAAGAGATTCAAACAAAAGGCACTTGAGTCGCATATTGCGCACGACAGTCATATCCAACTGTGTTTTGATTGAATAAGGCACTATTGTGTTTAATATGTTGTTTTTTATACATGTTTTAGAAGAATGTCTTCTACTGGTAGCACAATTAGGTTTTTAAGGAATTTGAGAAAGTGCCATAGCCTAAGTTGGTTAAAGGACCTATCTGGTGTTACTTCATAATTGTGATAATATACTAATTGTACAAAGTTTTCTATATATACCAATAGAGTTTTGCACAATTGTCATTTGATGCCAAGTATTTTGTCAAATGTAATATGTAAAGGTGTCTGTGGAAAATTGGATGATGTACTACACTATCACCACTGAAGATATCCCTATTCTCTTTGTTGGAAGCTATACTATACATGATGGTATCACCATTGAAGAACGTCATAGGTCATAGGACAGCATCATAGGTCAATTGTGGCTTTTAGATAATTTAATTTGTCTCATGGGTGTTCTTCACTAGCGACAGAAACTGATGCAATCAAACAAAGTAAAAACAATTGTTCAACACTAGCAACAGAAGACACCTTAATTGTGTTGTGCATAACAGACATGTCCATGTGTGTTTTGATCAATTAAGGCACTATTATGTTTATTTATTTTTTTGTAGATGTTTTATTTGTCCTAGAAGACTGTCTTATACTGATAAAACAATTAGGTTTTTAAGGACTTTAACATAGGCTTGTGCCATGAGATGTTCGTGTTCTATACTATCGACAGAAACCAATGCAACATAATAGATAAGAAAAGTGGTTCAACACTAGCGACAGAAGACAATGCTCTGGCTTAAGGTGGTTGAAGCAGCTTGCCATTCTATCTGGTCTCACTTCATACTTGTGATTATATACTAATTGTTCAAAGTTTTCTAAGTATATCGATATATATTTTGTGAACATATTTTTCCACAACTGTCGCTTGACGCCAATTATTTTGTAAAATGTAATATTTAAAGGTATCTAGGGAATATTGGATGGTGTACTACACCATCACCATTGAAGATTCTCTTGTTCTATTCTCTTTGTTGGAAGCTATACGATGATGGTACCACCATTGAAGAACATCATAGGTCAATTGTGGCTTTTAGATAATTTAATTTGTCCCATGGGATGTTCATGTTCTTCACTAGCGACAGAAACTGATGCAATCAAACAAAGCAAAAACGATTGTTCAACACTAGCAACAGAAGACACCTTAATTGTGTTGTGCACGACAGACATGTCCAACTGTGTTTTGATCAATTAAGGCACTATTATGTTTATTTATTTTTATAGATGTTTTATGTGTCCTAGAAGACTGTCTTATACTAATAAAACAATTAGGTTTTTAAGGATTTTAACATAGGCTTGTGCCATGAAATGTTTGTCTTCTACCCTATCTACAGAAACCAATGCAACATAGCAGATAAGAAAAGTGGTTCAACACTAACGACAGAAGACAATGCTCTGGCTTAAGGTGGTTGAAGCAGCTTGCCATTCTATCTGGTGTTACTTCATACTTGTGATTATATACTTATTGTTCAAAGTTTTCTAATTAAATCGATATATATTTTGTGAACATTTAATGTTTTGCACAATTGTCGCTTGATGCCAATTATTTTGTCAAATGCTAAAGGTGTCTGTGGAATATTGGATAGTCTATTCTCTTTGTTGGAAGCTATACTATACATGATGGTATCATCATTGAAGGACACCATAGGTCATAGGACACCATCATAGATGAGATTTTCATGTTCTACTGTAGTGGCAGAAACTGATACTACCTAACCGAGCAAAAAAGCAGTTCAACACTAGTGATAGAAGACACTTGAATTGCTTATTGAGCAAGATCATGCCCAATGTTTTTTGATTGACTGAGGTACCAGGCAATTCTGAGACGTCTGCATCAGACCATACCATCAGACTATGACTATAGTACTGAACTGCATTTAGCAAATCAATAATTGATTAATGTAACGCTGATTTGTTTTTGCCTAGTTGTCCTAAAAGGCAACAGACTGTGAACTTTCGCAGTTTTTTCTACCAAAGTCGGTTAAAATTGTTATTATGTAAATGTTACCTTCGGGACGGTGACGATTCTGCCCATCGCATGTGGTTCTTGTGCCGGCTCCGTTCACCTTCGACCTGGCGCCCTTTCAGATTCTCCACAAACTCCTGAAGTTCGCTTTTCGTCGGGATGAGAGGCTTCTCGGTCCGGTTGGGCCCGGGATCTTCACCGGCCCACTTGCGAGGACCCGGGTCGTAGAAATTTCGGTTCATCTCCTGGATTCCACCGATTACGATTTAACGTCGGAAAAAAGATCGACCGTAGTCAAAATCGTCTTCTTTTAAATTAATTCCAGTCATTTCATAATGGCCACTGGACACACGGGTTAAATAAACTAATTGTAAAAATCGTCCAATTCTATTGAACCCGTTTACGTTAACATTTGTTTTTAATTTTTTGTATTTGCAACAATTTACTTGTTGTTTTTTGTCTGAATAAATAAACAATAAACACTCGTCTTTTAAATTCTAATCGTATCAGTTTCTAACTCACAGATTAACAAATCATTATCTCTATACATATCTGGAGACTGGCCATGTTAAATCAACGTCAGTGCTCTAACAGCTGCCTACGTCATTTTTGGAGTCCATTCTAATTGAACTAACAAATTGGTTAATACTCTCAACACGACACACAACAATGACACATTTACACAGAAAGAAAACACACTTTGAGCCCTGAAGATGATCTCAATAAAGAAAATGTTTTTCTTTGAAATTAGTAATTACACTGAGTGGCGAAAAGTGGCCAGCTTAAATATTTTTAACTATCCCTTAGACAATCCTCCATTGATTCTCTTTAAACAATATTTGTTTCGTTTTAAAGGATCAGAGGTAAATAAAACACCAATATTTGGTTGATGCAAAATAAATGGAGGTTTTCCTCTTCACTTCACTTTTAATACCAATTGTGTAAACAAAACTTATCTATTATGCTAAGGGATACACATCATTTTAAAGCCTATTTATCTCGCTTTCTTTCTCTTACAATCCTTTTAGTAAAAACATTTAATTCAGTCTGTTCAGTGCCTCGAAACAAATGTCTAAGATGTCTAAGAGCGATTTTCTGCAAATTTATTTTTATAAATTTAAACTTGGGTGAAGTGCAGCGCAAACCACTCGAAACATTAATGATTTGGGTGCAAGTAACCATAAATGAATCCACAGTGCACCTGTGGTTCAAAAATTCCGTAATGGAGATGATGACCTAACGAGTAAAGAAGGTTGTGGCCGTTCTTCTGCTGATGGCAACGACCAGTTAAAGGCTTTGCTGGATAAGGATGCTGACCCGACAAAATCTACCCAAGAAATGGAGGAAGAATGTGTTGAAATGAGTTTCATTGTTTGGAACGCATTCCGTACTAGATTCTACCGTTGTTGAGATCAATCATCGATTTCAACAAGTTAGAAATGTTAAGGTCAGTTTACGCATTGAAAGGCGAAGACTTTCATTAGTGCAAGGCCTGCTACTGGTCCAAAACTTCTTACAAGTCGCAGAACTGCTCGGTTTCGCAAGAAATCAAATCAGTGGCGGATCCAAGGGGGGTGTAAAAGGGGAATTACCCTTCCATGAGCCAAGTGAAGATGTTATGTGTTTTATGTAATATGTCTTATTTTATCCTTAATGAAGGGAAGAGGCTTATATTTCAGAATTATAAAATTATCAAATGTTACTCATATCAGAGTTAAACCTTCCCTAAATTAAATAATTTTTTTTTAACTGGTCACGCTTTGGCGTTGTTTTTCCCCGGTTCGATACTTCTATCACTCGATTTGATGTCAAGACACCTGTAAGTTGATGTTTAGTTTTAAGTAGATTTCTTTCAAAAATTTAGCTGTAGTGGTCGCCTTTTTGATCGCATTGCAATGAAATTTGGCAGGGTTTCGGCCAAATCGACTGGAGGTCGCAGTTATAGGCGATAAAAGTAAAAAATTCAATCAAATTTTTGCCAATTTTGCGTTTTCTCCCGTACAACAACTAGCTCGATTCGTTTAACTTCACTCCCTCCTAGCTACGCTCCTCATTATTGGATTTTCACATTTTTGGCACCGATTTGAACCTGGATTCTTCCTGCGACTTTTAAGCTCGGTTTGGCTCAAATCCAAGCTGTATTTTAAAACGTAATTTGAAAAAATCCTATTTTTAATCAGGATTTTTTTCTCAAATACGTTACTTTAAACCTAATTTCTTTCTTATAAAAAATTAAATTAAATTATTTTTTATAATAAAACGAAACCATAGGCGTTTCTTAATTTTTACTACAAATATGCCAAGATTTCTTTTAAATTAACAGAGAAATGGAGGTATAAAGATAAAGTCCTTAAAATTCTGTTTATTATTAATAAATATGGCCATCACACGTCTTTTTCCGTAAAGCTCCCATTAGTACTAAAAAGTAGTAGTGAAGTAACGCAAGAAAATAATTAATTAAATTGCTTAAATAAAAATTCAAATTAGGTAGTTAACTAAAAAACCATTATTTTAATTTCATTACTTTCAGTGGTCTAGGAAAAAATGGCCTGAATCTAATTTAATTTATCGCCAGCTGTTAATAAAAAAACAAAAACAATTGATTAATTTTTTATCCTATCGCAATATGTTCACGATGTTACGTTTTGTATAAAATAAATAATAATATATACCCATGGTTTTCAAATTATTCTATAATTTTTAAAGCAGCAAATTTTTAGCACCGCTGGATTGATTCCGCAAAAGAAAAAATCTTCTTCTCAGTCCTTACTACCTGAGGTTTTTTTCGTATATGATTTATGCTAAAAAAATTACATTACAGACCATGATTTTTTCGTGATTAGACATGTCCTTCTGGTGCCCTTCTGATCTCTGCCACTAATTTTCTTATTGGATGTCTCGTTGTAATAACCTCTAAGTTGGAGATTAATTTTTTATGTTCGTTAATGTTTAGGGATGGTTAGGGTTTTTTTAAATGCAGGGCCGCTGGATTCGAACCCGGGACCTTTACCTTACAGTGATGACCGCCGTGTCAACGCCAAATCGTTGCGGCCACCGACGCCCCTCCCTTTCCTTAATATAATATCGGTGACGACATTTACATAGCAAACTTTGACAGAAAAACAATTTGAAAGTATATGAAAAATATGTTCTTTTTTGAAATTGAAGTTTTGAAATTTCATGTTATTTTTTCAGTTTTTCCCTTTGAAAGAGGAGTAAGTATTGCGTTGGGCCGAAAAACGTTGTGTAGAGTTTTCTCTCGATTGGCACGTTTTTATGTCCTCTGTGCCTCATAAAAATCGAATTTTTTTTCTCCATGCCCCATTCATACTCGCAATAAACATAGATAAAACAATTAGAATCCACACCAATTTCAAACCTACATTCGGTATAATAATTAATAATAATTCTTTAGAGTTTAATATAGATAAAACAGCATTTTAGTGTCTTTTGATATTACTAGTTTATTTACAAATATCCCTGTTAAACTAATAAAGCAAAATCTTAAATCGTTAAAAAAAATTATATAATAGACCTCTTAAATATATGCCTATTATCAGATTATTGTAAATTTAACTATATATTTTATGAAGTGAAAGAGTTAGTTACCAATGGAAAAATTAATTTCAAATAAAGTAACTATTTATTAAATCTGCCCTTTTTGAAATGCAATATTTTATGTATACGATCGGGAACACTAGACGATTTAAAATAATTCCTCTAATTAATTAATTTTTTACACCCTAATATAAATTTTAAGTTGGAAATAAATAAAGATTAAAAATTTTAAGTCAATTATCAACACCAAAGGTGGTTTATTTTCTGTTATTTCGATAGTTCAATTTCTGGTCATTTTCTTACTCTTATTTAATTAAGTACGTTTCATTTATTTTTGTGCTATTACATTTAAATCTTTATTTATATATTCACTTTGACAAAAATTGTGCCAAATTTTTAGTTTTTTCTTATTCAAGAGGGCCCAAAGTCCAAGAATAAAATGTATTTTCTTCTTTTATCTTCTTCTTTTTATGCCAAGGTGTTTTTTTTTAAATTTATTACTACCTGTATTAATAAAATATACATCTCGTAATTTAAGGTTATTTGCATATTTACATTTATACACTATATATCATGTCTTGAAGGGAGTCGCCAACCATTGTTTGTCTCCTAGTTATACCAAAGTAGCCATAAATATAGAACTGTTTTTATTTTTATTTTACGGGGGTTCGCAACAGAAGAGGTTATACCAACCCTCGGGGTGCCGGTGATTTTGAAAAAAAGCCCATTTGTTAGTATGTCGGATTCGAATGCAGGGCCGCTGGATTCGAACCCGGGACCTTTACCTTACAGTGATGAGCGCCGTGTCAACACCTAAGCCGATGCGGCCACCGACGCCCTCTATGGAACTGTTGAACCAACATTTTGTACTGTGAAGCTACTGGGAGTTTTGTACGATGTATCATTTTTTTTTTGTTTACCTAAGATTCTTAAGATTTTCAAGCCTTTTAGTCAGTCTGAGATATCCATATTTGGACAATGTATTATCGAATGTATTTTTTTCATCCATCATTCCGTGTGATTTTACTATAGACAGTTCAGAATTTGACCAATTTCCTTTCATTTTTTCCACACATCGGACACGTTAAACCCACGCTTTGCCAATGTCATCCCCCTCTTTTTCAAAGATCGTTTATCAGCAGCTTTCATTTTCGCGTGTCCTACGATCAGTCGTGATTTATGCGGACAATTCAGAATGTTGCTGTTCTGCAAAATTTTGTTCACGGTCGTGTTCGTCTTCACTGCCCGTGTTGTTGTCTGCTTTCAAAACACGACGAAACACGGTGAGCTTAAAAAATTCTAAAGTTCATTTTTAAAAAGAAGTCCTGCAACATCTATGTTTTTTGCGGCGATTTCTTATCGTAAAATTATTTCGTAAGGTTCGAAGGGATAAATATAATTACTTTTCAATACAGCCAAATTTATTGTTACTTAAGAAACATTAACTCTACCTATGCCATTCTGAAAAGATAAAAATTGCCAAGGTTCTATTTTATTTTATTTTTTTCTAAAATTTCATGTGTTTCTGATGTATCAATATGTTACAAGTCGTATCTAATACAGTTTAATCAATTTACTTACTATATTAATAAAACAATATTTTGAAAGTTTTTTTACTAAATTATCTTGCAAATGTGGTTTATGTGTGTCTGTTTTTTTGTGTGTTCTATGCTTGTTTAGTAATTTTGCTTGTTTAGTTTTATGCGTATTCGATTTGGGGGGAAGGGTATCGTGAAAAAAAGGCCAGAGGCGACGGCGGGAATTGAACCCACGACCGCGGCCCCCTACAACGAAAATTCAGTTCAATAAAAGTTCATTAAATAATAATTTAAAGTATGAAATGAAAAATGATACTTTATTCATGCCTAAAGAATGTCAATCTTTAAATTAACAATTTAAGGATCAACTGTGAAACTTTGCCATTGCAAATTTGTTCAGAGGATGGTTTTTCTGTAATAAAACAAATTTCATAAAAACATATTTTCGTCATGCCCTCGTTTAGCGTCCTTCGGCCTCGTTTATCCTCATTTTCTCTCCCTCTATTCTACATTGCATCCGGTGTTTTGTCTACCTCGTTTTCAATCGTATCGATATTTGACAAATTTTGGGACAAAAGGACGTCGAATCGCGTCATTAACAAAAACTGACGGTGCACTCTTGCCACTTAGAGCAAATAAATAATAATATTAAGTTTATTTCTTAAAAAAAAGAAGCTTCCGCGGAGATTTATTATGCTTCTATCGATATAAAAGAAGTTAAATGATAACCAATAATTACAGAATTAAGCTCTCTTTCTCTCTTTTTCTCTCTCACTCTCTCTCTCTCTCTCTCCCTCTTCCCAACCACCTCTTATAATTAACCACATACTCACTTCCTCCCAATTTTGAGACTTGATACATAAATAAATCTGGAGACTACCAAACTAATCTATTTTTGATATTTCAGCATGAAAAAGTATAGGTTAATTTGAAATGAATGGCCTTTCCTGTATTAAGTTGCAAAGAGAACAGTATCTATAATTTAAATTGGAACCCAAATTTTGTTTTTAACATCAATAACAATTTCACAAAAATCTATTTACTATATAATCCATATTATAGTTTAATTTAAAATCATATTTTCCCTGTGCAAAATATATTAATGTTAACACAAATGTTTTCATTTTAAAGTATCTACCGTTATGTATTCAAAATATCATTGAAATCATACAGAATAAATATCGATACATTTTCGCACAAAATATCATAGTTCATTAAAGATAATATATCCGATAATATATCACAACCAACATGGGTTTTTACAAATATCACTTACATAGAAAATTCACAAAATCGTTCACAATAACTATAGTTATAAAACTATATTGGTTTTCATATAAAGCATTGATGTTTGAGCAAACGTATGTTAACTAAATCTCAATGTTACTTTTACAAAATATTTATGATTTTTATTGATTAGAATCGATACATATCACTATTTTAAAATAAATATAAAAAAAGGTTCATAATTCGTCTTGCATATCCATAACGTCTATCTGTTTTCATTCATAATATCTTTGAAAAACAATTTTTTTCATGTTATCGCTCTGAAGGAGTGTGCAGCAACTATTTGGGGAGTATTTTAACTATGAGGGCATCTTAACCCCAGGATTCTGGTGTTTTTTGAAAAAAAAAAAAAAAAAAAAAACATTTTTAAGGACTAAAGATCAAAACGTTGGCACGATAAAGAAAATGTTTTTCTAAACCCACATCACACCAGACCGCATCTCATGATCTCCAAATAATCATTAAGTAATGGTCACTAAACACCACACAATTCTAAGGACGTTGGGTTTGTATGGAAGTCTTGGTTAGGGTTAGGATTACTGGTGAGTTAGGTTAGGTAGGGTTAGGATTTCAGAAGTTAGAATAGGTTTGGTTAGGGACGGATTAGATTAGGCAGAGTTAGGTTTTTGGGACAGGGTTAGGCTAGGTATGGTTTAGGATGTGCTAGGTTAGGTAAGGTTAAGATTGGGTTAGGTTAGGTAGGGTTGTGGTAATGGATGGGTTAGGCTAGGTAGAGTTACAAATGGGTTAAGCTAGGCAGGGTTAGGGATGGTTTAGGTTAAGTAGAGTTAGGTTTATCAACAGGTTAGGCTAGGTAGGATTAGGTTCAGAGATAGGTTAGGCTAGATAAATAAAAAAAAATCATATGAACAATATATTTGATAAAGTGAATATTTGTTCATCATAAAAATATGTTCTGTGACACTTATACAAAATATTGATGTATTTTCGTACAAATATCAGCATGTAATTATGTGAATATTGTCATATTTTTATTTACAATTTAGATTTTTCATATAAAAGATTGGCATTTGACATGTCGTCCATTCCTACTTACTTTTGAATATGTATTCTTATTTTTCAAATATTTACAATATTAATAAATTCATCTTGCATATCAAAGATGTTTGATTTCAGAAAAAGTCCTGTTTTTTAAACCTAGCAGTAAAAATAGGATTCATTTTTAAACAGTTCAATTCTATTTAATGCTTGCTCAAACCAATAATAATTTTATTTTGAAGAATTATTATTTAAAAAGAATTTTGTTAATAAAACTATTAACGTATAGAAATGTGTGGTGATTAGTGACCGTTAATCGATAATTATTCAGAAATTGTGAGATGCGGTCTGGTGTGATGTAGGGTTCAGAAAAACATTTTCTTTATCGTGCCAACGTTTCGATCTTTATTGAGATCATCTTCAGGGCTCAAAGTGTTTGTCTTCTGTGTGATTGGGCCATTCTTGAGAGTCGTGTTGAGAGTGCCCAAGATCGAAACGTTGGCATGATAAAGAAAAGTTTTTCTGAAACCTACATCACACCAGACTGCATCTCATGATTTCTGAATAATTATTAATGTATACTTCTGTATGGCCAATAAGTTAAATTCTAAAGATATCGATTTTATTGTCTTTTCAAACCCACTTAAATTCTATTACACAAGCTCAAGCGCCTTAAAGCAATATGTTACACTAACGTTTCTAACATATTTCAAGCAATAAAGGAGCTGTGCAGTATCTTCTTCAATACCTGTAAATAAAACTAAGACATTGTTAAAATAAGTATTCAAATCCTCCCTCCCCTATTCTGACGTACTTACAATTCCAAAATCACTTAGTTGCCCTAAACCTTAACCTATTACCTTAACCATTTCTAACCTAACCTAACCCTACCCAACTTAACCTAATCAATCCATACGCACTCCCTGATAATTCAAAATTGATGACCCAAAAATGGTTATGCAACAATTTGTCTATCACACCAAAAACATATCCATGCAAATAGAATTTGGAGATAAAGGTAAACATAGGTAATGTTTATGCTCCTGTATGCTTGTCCATTCTGAAACTTGACTTTCATCAACTGTGTTGCAATGTTCAACACTGCCATTATGCAGATTAAGTTCTTGCGCCACTCTACATACTCTATGTCATATTAAGTTACTGATCTTAACATTTCAACCAACATAGAGCATGTGAAGTACCGTATACTGAAGACAAGGATTTTTTTTTTTTGTTATCTTAGTGAACATGTGCTCTGTAGGATTTTAAGTAAATTAACTAGTCACTAATAATAAGGATATCATAAGCTGAAACTTTATTAATTCTACAGAGTTAATATAATTGTAAAATCCCAATTTTTATCGTTAATGAATGACAATTAAAATATTAATTATGTCTGTGAGATATTAAATTTTAAATAGATCAACAAACTAAATAACTGAATATTTCCATTATTTTTAAAGATTTTGAAAAAGAAAAGGTTTTTTTTAAATTAAAGGTGCACTTGTTATTGAAGAAGAAGGTGACAAGACACCTCGGATGATTGATATGACCTCAAAGCAAGAGCTGCTCTGCTCCTACGGATCATCTTGTGTTCCACTCAGTGAATGTACTATAATGACTCAACTTCTTCGGCAATCATGTCTTCAGATGAACAAGTAGGATCCAGGAAGATTTACATTGAATCTTCATAATTATATTTGGTTTAATTTGCAGGATGAGGGGTTTAACATGTGGATACAAAGGAGCAGAACCTCTTGTATGCTGTCCTGATTCATGTTCAAACGAGAAAGATACCGATAAAAATTTGTATCAAGAGAAGTGTGGGCTGCCACAATTTAATAATTGGTGGTCTTATAAGTACCAAGGAGTCGGATCCCAGCCTTGGGCAGTTCGAGTTGGATTTAAAAGTAAAGATGGAAACTTTTTTTTTTCAACAATAAATTTACGATATATTGCATTCTAGATGTGTTAGCCAATCGTATTGATTATCTATGCTGTGGGTCAATAATAAGTAAACATGTCATATTGACTGCTGCTCACTGTGCACTTGCAAAAACTTCAACTCATAAAATGTAAGTGTCAAATCTTTAACATTTCGTTGTATAAATATATATTTTTTGCAGAGCAGTTGTTAAAGTCGGCGAGTTTGATTCTGAACATGATCCTGATTGTAATAACGGACTCTGTGCACCACGATCAGTCGATGTCCCGCTTAATCATATCATCGTTCATCCCGGCTATGATGCAAAAGTTTTCCGCCACAACATAGCTCTGCTCGTTTTGAAGCAACCACTGAATTACTCTTGTGAATATAAATTTAAATTTTTTTGACCCACTAACACGATTATAAATGATATTAATTCCATGTTTTCAGTAGGAGTACAGCCGATATGTTTATATCCAAAATCAACAAATTATATTTATGCTGGCCATAGAGCTTTACTTGTCGGATGGGGAAAGCTTGCTGGACAAAAGGGTTTGAAATGACCTCGAGTGTATAAAAAAAAAATTAAAAATTAAAATTATTTCTTTTAAATAGAAACAAGGACAAAGCAGCAACAGTTGAGCTTACCGGTCGTCAAGTTAGAGTCTTGTTCACTTGTCTACGGTACAGCGGTACCGATAACAGAAAATGAATTGTGCGCAGGAGGAGAGTTAGGAAGGGATGCTTGCTCTGGTTTCGGAGGCGCCCCGCTTGTCACCGTCGATCCGAACTCGAGAGACCGATATTTTCAGGTGATTCGTGCTCTTAAACTTTAATAGTAATTCGACTGAGAGAATAATTTCAATTGCAGATTGGCTTGATGTCCTTCGGTTCAGATCAATGCGGTAGCTACGGCGTACCTAGCGTCTACACAAGAGTCGATCGGTATACAGACTGGATTATAGCGAATTCACCAAAAATTGATTGATACTTAAAATTTTGTTAAACATATTTATCTCTCATTTAAATGTTCAGAAGTTAAGGAAATAAAAAATCTGTTTTGTACATCTAAGGAATCCTAATTTCTCATTACATATTCATCAAATAGAAATGTTTAAGTCTGGTCTGGTTATTAATTGTTAAAAATATATATTTGTTGTATAATTGTTATAGTTAAAAAAAAAAGTAATGGGGAAATATTGAGTACTCCATCATCAAACTCGAGTGAATAAGAAAGAATGTATTTATGAGTGAGAAAGTGTGTTCAGGTTAAAACTGCATGAGTTAGGAGGTGAAATGAGTTTATAGCCTAACAAGTTCAAAGTCTCAGTCACGAGAAATCATAGGTTCGATTCTGCACATATTTGTAATATGTGTAAGCATGTGTATGTTTGTGCAGAATTGAGTGGCGAGGAGGTACTTTGATGATTATCTTTTTTTAAATAAAAATTGTATCAAAGGCATATTAAATGACATATTTCTTTTGCCTTTTTTACAATTGATAAATCTTTGTGCTTAATAACTTTGCACCTGACAAAATAATACAAATAAAAGAAAACAATCTGTAAGGTGTGTTACCGGTTCCTTGCTGGACCGTTGGCAATTCACCCGGTCGCCGAGTACCTGGGGCTCAATGGAGATTTTTTTTCCCGTGGCCGCTTCGTCTCCAAAAGTAAAATAGTCGGGCGTCACACTGTTTATATTTTTTCCTTCTTTTCGGAAAACAGTGAAACCCTCAGGGTGAAATAACAAGATAAAAAGTAAAAACCCAACAAGAAAGTAAAGTATCAATTTCACTAATTTCGTGGTCCACTTGACCAATTAATATTTTACAATTAATTAAGGTTATTAGTTGAGATAAAAGTCAATGGCACGAGCGGGATTCGAACACACGATCTTTGGCTTGATACGCCGCTGCTCTACCACTTGAGCTATCGTGACCTCGATCCACTCGGACACAAACTTCCCATCTCAACCCCAACTTATGAATTTTCCCTCCTTTTTGCCATTTTTCAAATGTCGTGTAATCTATTTGATTCTTGGCGACAAATGAAATGGCCACGGAGAGATTTAGTGAATGTATACTTCATTTTTAACTTATTAAATTCACTAATTTCATGGTCCGCTTGACCAATTAATATCTTACAATTAATTAAGGTTTTTAGTTGAGATAAAAAAGTCAATTGCACAAGCGGGATTCGAACCCACGATCTTCGGCTAGATACACCGCTACTCTACCACTTGAGCTATCGTGACTTTGTGGCAAAAAGGAGGGAAAATTCAAAAGGTGGGGTTGAGATGGGAAGTTGATGTCCAAGTGGATCAAGGTCACGGTAGCTCAAGTGGTAGAGCAGCGGCGTATCTAGCCGAAGATCGTGGGCTCGAATCTCGCTCGTGCCATTTACTTTTTTATCTCAACTAAAAACCTTAATTAATTTTAATTAATTGTAAAATATCAATGTTTTCTGTATTGTGCATAAAATGTAAAACAAAAGATATAAAACAAGTCTCTTAAAAAAACAAAAAAAAAAAAAAAACAGTCCAGAAACCAATGTTATAATATAAATTAAAAGCTAGAACCTTGTGTACGTTCTTTTCCTTCTCGTTCCGGAGCGCTTCTTCCCTCGCACATGCGAACCTTACACAACAATGAGAAAAAGTCCCAAAATAATTAAATAAAACACTATCACGTTCCTTTTTTACTTTTTCGCCCAGCTTGTCCACACCAACCAGTCTCAAGCCTCCTTGTTCATGCCGGTCAGGCCCCACTCCTCGCCAGTGTCCCCCTGAGCCTTGGCTGGGCCTCCTTCAGCTTCCAAATACCACCCGCGCGTCTTCGGCCTCTTCCAGACCTCACTCAACCTGGCCCGAGTGTGGTCATCCCAGTGCAAAAAAAAAAGTTTTTTTTTCCTCTCATTTTCGCTTGTAATAGGTGATATAGCATATTCTCACACATCAATGTTCTGGACTGTATATAATTGATAATTTATATAATTAATGTGTAAAATTAAAGTAGAACAAGAAATTAAATAGCTTTTTCTGGGAAAATCATCAGCAACACAGGTGAAATGTGACGAGAGATCAAAAAGGCGAGTCAACAAAGCTACGAAATTAAAAATTTCGTTTTAATTTTGTGGTCAAACACAGATGAAAACTGTGAACCATCTAAAAAATGATAATAGCAAGACATATAAGATCGTATGATGATACTATAAAAATCAATAAGGAGAAATTTCATAAGGATGAAAAGGGGAAAAATAATTTATTACATCGCTTTATTTTTTAAAGTTGACTTGTTTATTGCAAAGCTACAAAAACAAGACGATTCAGTTATGTAAACACTACTGACTGATTGAAATTTGTTAGTAGCTTCGGTCGACCTCAGCTTCGGCCAGAAGATTGAACGAGGGTAAAATATAGAAAATAAAACTTTTTACAAGAATAGAAAACTGGATAAATATTAAAATCTAAATTATATATGAACAACTCTACATACAAACAGACGAAAAACCTTTGAAGATATGGGCTCTTCAAAATTCACAACTATACTGAAAAAATTTGCTTATATACAAATTAATTGTACAAATTCACAACACATTGATAGTTATTGGTTTTTATTAATAAAACAAATGGATTTAGAACTGTACTTATTACAACAGAAGCTCGATTGAATAAAACCTACTGTGGTCGCTTACATCTCTGTTGAAAATAGTATTGTCATTTTATTTATTTTAATAAAGAAGTCATAAAAACGAGAAAAACCGGTTTTTATCGCATCAAAGATTATCATCCTAAATCCATTTTAATAGTAAGCCTGCACCCCCAGCTTTATTATTTATTAATTATTATAATAGTTTCTTTTTTGACTCCAATGTTTACACTTCTTTTTCTAGATGTTGAGCAACAATATCCATGTACTAAATACAAGGAAAGAGACATGGTCTTTACATAATAGAAACACAATGTGAGCAAATATAGGTGTTAAACGCTTATGTTTTAGCTTTTCAAATACATTCGATATTGTCACTCACTAACAGTAACGACTATAAACATTAAAAATTGCATTACATACGAAACAAATGTTCCTTGACTAGCATTAGTATTAGTTTTAATTCTGATTTTTTTTTTTCAATTATAATAAAATACTTGAAGTATATTTTAATTAAATAAGAGATAATGGTTGATTCTAAAGAATTTTGTTTCCTTAAGAAAATAGTTTTTTTTTGTTTTCTTTATCATACTGTGCATGAAGAGAAAAAGTATCCTGCTCTATTTCTACCATTTTGACAGCTACTTAAGGCCCCTCATGAAAGTGAAATTGAAACTAAAGAAAACAAAATTAAAATATAATACTTCTAAAAATATGGTCATTCTTTGAAAATATGATTAAAAGCTACTTTTATTAATAATTTACAAAATCAAAATTAAGAAATTCTAAGAGAAATTCTCAAAAATCATATAACATGATCCCTTATTTTGTATTTTATATATATATATATTTTTTAAATATATTTATTTTTATTTTTACACAATGGAAAATAAAACGAAAGGAATATTATTTTGTGTTGGTTAATCCAGCTTCAAAAAAATCAATCAATGATCAATCATCATCCCCCTCCTTCCTAATCAATTCGGTCCTGAGTTGAAAGCGCAATCGTGAAAGATCGTCTTTTTTAAATTTTTAGTTTTGCAATTATTAAAAAATGAGGAAAGACCCGTGATAGCAGTGAGGTAGAGGAATTTTGACCTAATGAGACGTACTTTTGGGCCATGCGATCTTGGCATCGATCCTCTTGTAGGCGAACATACAGTGCTGTCCAGAAGAGCTCAGCGACCCCTTGATGTCCTGGGGGCATTCACCATCAGCCAGTAACGTTTCTGTTAACAAATAGGAAATATCTGAGATTCAATAATTAATAAAAATGCTATAGTTATAAAACATTAATATCTTATAGAAGATTTTTTATTAGTATGATATTAATTTTGATTAAATGTGATCGATATTTACAATTAAATCTTTAACTATTTATTTTTTGAAAAAAATCCAGGCTCAGCGGATACTTTCATTCTGTAAATCAGCAATGTCCTAAAGAATATGATTATACAAAAATAATTTGAATTTTACTTACATAGTAATAATGTAATATTTTTAAAATTGTTGTTAATACAGTAAAATAAAGCAACACCTGGCAGAGCATACGTTTGAATAAAAAGTTTTTTTTAGATGTTCTTGTTAAATATTTTTATTTGAATTTTCATGAGGAATGTAAAGATTACTGACCTTCTCCATCAATAAGCTTGTACAGTCCATAATCCTGTGGATTTGTGATTCGAACTTTGTGTGCGATGATTTTGCATACATCTTTCGTCGTCATGTTCGGTCTGATCGGCAGTGTCTTCGTGATTATCGAACCGTTCATCTCATCCGGGACGACGATTTTCAAAACAGACCTGAATTCCGCCAACGGGCCAGGACCCCACTGGAGAAACGCAAAAAATAATAAATTAAATTTGTCCTGATTACCGTACAATTTGACCGACGTACATTTAAAGAGGAACCAGACGCAGTGTATTCTTCCGAAGAAGCCCTGAAACTCTTTAAGACGTGTACGGCGCTTGAGAGTGTCGTGAGGTAGTAGCCGCCCTCTCCAGAGAGCAAAGACGGGTGCAGAAGACCCCACATGTAATCCGCTTCGATTTCCGCGGCTACCATACCACTTTGTACAAGTACCCAAACAAAGAGTGGAAGAAAATCATCAGCGCCGAGGACAAAATTTCCTGATTTACTGGAACCATTGCTTACTTTCACCTGATAACATTTAACCATTTAAATTTTCCTATAATAATAAATTAATTAATAAAAATCACTGTATACTGACTGTACTGTATATTGAAGCAATTGCAGAAAGGAGGTTTTCCAGTTTTTCTAACGGTGAATCGACTTCCTGGACCTTTTGAAGGTATGAACAAATTTCTTCCATGTCTTTCTCACTTGGTAGGATGATATGGGGCTGAAAAAGTAAAAGTTTAGTAAAACTATATACATAAACATTTGATCGTAAATACCTTAATTCCGATATCTTTGGGTAACTTGGTTCTTGCGTATTTGATGTTTTCAGCTAGCAATTGGATGGCACTCTTTTCAGAATATTCATCGACAAACAGTCTATAGAGGTGTTCCCTCAAAGGCCTCACGACCAGTTTATGCATAACTCCTTCGAGTATTGCATCCAGATTGAGAAACTCATTAGCACGAAGCTGGAAAAAAATTTAGCAATTAATATTGTTTTTGGTTTTAGATTTTCACTCTGCGTACCTTGTTCCGTTCCTTTTCAACTTGCAGCTCGAACTCCCGTTCCCCGTGAGTCACCAAGTAGTTTTTCATTCCGGTCATGAACTGGCGCATGTTTCTCATCACCACCTGCGGCCTCGTCTCCTTCGACTCCCTCGTACACGATATAAAGTTGTCGATTGTTTGGGCGAAAACTGTGGTGTTGTCTCCTGCAAGCTGGAGGGTGTATGACCTTATCAAGGTGCCTGTTCCCCCACATTCTCTGGTCCTCTTCAATGCAGCAAGACGAGGTGCACCTGTAAATTTAAAATGGTTTAACTTTTAATAATTCATAATTTTATTATAAATGTAAATTTAATGAATAATCCAACTATTTTCCCAGCCATAACAAGAAAAATTACTCATTGTAAAAGTAGCTCACCATGTACAATTTCCTTCCACTTAAACATTTTATAATAAGAAAATAACAATTATGTTAATTTTTTCATAACAAGCCCACTATTAAAAGTCAAAGCCTGCCTATAGTCAAAGACAAACAAACTCTTGACTTTTAAAATAAATCGTTAAATACTTCACTTCACTAGATCATTTTAGTCCAACAAATAGTTTAGATTTAGAAAAACTCGAAGTGTCATACGAGAAAATGAGTTGTCCTCCGATTATTGCAAGGGCGATGACTGTAATCAAAAGGAGATACTGGAAAAATAACGAATAAAAAAGACTTGCCGACTACCGATCTCGAAATCATCATTATACCGTCTTCTATTCTCGGCCAGTTTGGCAAAATCAAATGTTTAAACAATAGGACAGTTTTATTGTGTTAAAAGAGCAAGGAAAGTTCAAAATGATCGAAATTCTGGCGTCGTGATGTAGTTTTCACTTCAAAGAAAAAGTTCCTAAATTAAATAATTTAAATAAATTTTTTCTAGTAAAACAGGTCAAATTTCAATGCCAACAATTATTTAAATAATTTAAAGAATCGTATATACATAAATAACAAACAACTGGGGCGTCGGTGGCCGCAACGGTTTAGGCGTTGACACGGCGCTCATCACTGTAAGTTAAAGGTCCCGGGTTCGAATCCAGCGGCCCTGCATTCGAGCCCGACATACTTACAAATGGGATTTTTTTCAAAAACACCGGCACCCCGAGGGTTGATATGACCTCTGCTGTTAAACCCTCGTAAAATTAAAAAAAAAAAATATAACAAACAACTATAAAACACAGTAACACACTACCACGTTTATAAATAGACAAGAAAAAGAGTTGTCGAGTATTTTGGATTCCTCAACTAGACACGTCGTAGTAGAAAATAAATTAAATAAAATAATAGCTTTTTTAGTAAGAAATTTTTTGCAGAAGTCTTCACGAAAAGAGTCCGAGAAGTACAGTGAGAATAGGTGGACCGTGATGACCAGAAACGCTTCATCCGATGTTATTCGGCATGGGTTATACTGCTAAAGTATAGATTGCCAATTAAATTAATTGACACGATGGCATATAATGTACATTCAGAACAACGAAAATATTGCAGGTACGTTATGAAATGGCCACCAGGGCAAGTTTTTAATGAGTTTTTGTCTGTCAAGAGGTCTATAGTAGATGATACCTCCTCCTTTAAAATTCACCTGCTAATCCACAACCCTGAATGGCAGAAGTGACGAATCTGATTATTTTCTCCGTGATGCGCTTCAGCCATTTCACAAAGCGTCGAATAACACGAACAGCGGCGGGTTCCATCGAGTACGAGCTGTTGCGACAGCGATAGACAATTGCTAGCCATGAAACTCGCTTGTTCCTCGTACTATCGTCGTAACGCTTCTAAGAATGGATAAAAACGTTCTAGAATCCTTTTGTATATCCTTGTCCCAGGAGGGTCGAACAATGAGGACTGAATGGTGCCGCTTGGGACATGGATGTCTTATGTCCTTCCCCACCCGTCGATTCGACAGCCCTTATCTATTGTCCCAAGTTCAAGCTTCCGCCGATATCGTGCCGTCTAATCGGACAAATCTGTGCGAACTGGAAAACCAAACAGGAAAAAAGGAAAGGACCGGCTTCAAATTATATCCAACGCTATCCAGAAAATTCCAGTTTCAATACTATTACCATTCATTCGATGTCTCATTATATATTAAAAATTTAACAATATTTTGAATAAAAGTCTTCCTAAACCCTTTTCTCATGTATAAATGAACAATCCAACAATAAGCTGTAGACGAAAGAAAAACTTAATATACGCTTTCATTTTTATCAGCACGCAAATCCTTAAGTTTACCATGTAACTTAGAAAATCGAAAAATAATGTAAAATTTATTTAGAAATCGTGAGATGTGGTCTGGTGTGATGTAGGTTTCAGAAAAACATTTTCTTTATCGTGCCAACGTTTCGATCTTTATTGANAACGATTAACGAACCACCACACATGTCTAAGTATTTGTACTTTTACACAATTTTAAATGTGTAGATGTCGATAGTTCCTTACCGTTAATGTAAAGACCATTGTTTATTTAACGTGGATGTAATTTGGGTGCATTTGTCCTGGCTCAGTTTTCTTCCACGTTTTTCTCTATTCTTCAACGAGCCTAGATATTGGAGGTGACTTGATTAGGACTGGAGTTAAGAGATAAAATTGCAATATCGTCCGCTTAGGTTGTAAGGATCGTGTTGAGTTGTATCGGCACGTCAGCAGTAATTGTATATAGGATGGGACCTAGACTGCTCCCTTGTGGGACGCCGGCCTGAATTGGTCTGACAAGAAAACTCGATGCCGTTTTGAAACATCGATCGTTTAGATAGGATTTTAGGATTTGGTAATAAGGCTTGGATAGGAATTGATTTAGTTTAGCGACCCTGTCAAAAGCTTGGGACATGTCTAAGAACGCACACGAGCAAAACTTTCTATTAACTAAATCAGAGAAAATATTTTCAACAACCTAAAACAGTCGTGATGAGGACGGAAACCAAATTGGTTGTGAAGGAATGACATGTAAATGGTTACTAAAATAACTATAAAAATACCATAACACTTGGATATTAGGATCAATTTACATTTGATAATTTGTTGAAGTCAGTGAAAAGCGGTCAGGAATGAACTATTTTATAATTTATCTTTCTGAAGAAATGTGCGTTGTGTTTAGTATGCTAACACTGTTTATCTCCCGTTTCTTGAAAATGAGCGTTTTCAAAAACTAATAATTAATGTAACAACAAATGACATGGTGTACAGCTAAGATGGGTTAAAATGACAAAACAAGTTTTTAGGGTTTAGCAATAAGAAAAAAAAATTTAAAACATGTAACAAATATTGAACAACAAAATAAACCCTGGAGTGTTTAAACATGAAAAAAGAACATGGTGATTGTATTGACAGAAAGAAAGAGAAAGGACGAGAGTGTTAGAAGATAGATAAGTTAAGGACAATGATTATTATCAACGACAAGAAGATATATTATACTATATAATTTGTACAAAACGTTAAAATAATAATCGTACTCACAATGGGTTCAAAAGATTGATTTATACTTATTAGCAAATCAAAAAAATTATACTATTTATATATGTGTGGTGATTAGTGACCGTTAATCGATAATTATTCAGAAATCGTGAGATGCGGTCTGGTGTGATGTAGGTTTCAGAAAAACATTTTCTTTATCGTGCCAACGTTTCGATCTTTACTGAGATCATCTTCAGGGCTCAAAGTGTTTGTCTTCTGTGTAATTGTGCCATTCTTGCGAGTCGTGTTGAGAGTGCCCTCAGTAAAGATCGAAACGTTGGCACGATAAAGAAAATGTTTTTTTGAAACCTACATCACACCAGACCGCATCTCACGATTTCTGAATAACTATTTATATGTTTTTTATATCAATAATTTTAATTATACTTATTATTAATTGATTATAATCAACCGATAAAAAGTCATCTTGAGTGTATATTTTGATAATTACTGTAGGAATTGGACCTATTTACATAGATGCCACTACGATTAATAGTTTGAGAAATATATGACGCCGAATGTGTATACAGCTTATCAGCTTCAATTGAAAATCGTGGAGTCACAATTTTGACAGTGTTTTTAATCTTCCTTAAACGTTTTTATTATCTGGACAATTTAACGTCGAAATGGCGCTTTAGCCGTGACCTGTAACTACTGCCTTTACAATTAGATAATTGCTTGTCGTGTCTAAACATTTCTTACCGTACAGATACGCGTGTTTCCGGATACTTCGGCGAAGCTTTCAATTGATTCAATTTTCTTATCAAAAATATCACAAAGTACAAGGGATTAAATATCAAATTTCCCCCAATCGCTCAATTCTTGAGATAAAGAAAAATTAATGTATTCTCCTCGGTCTTTCGTCTGTGAAATATCGTCGCATAAGGTCACAGTTGATGAAGGTCAAATTTGGAGAATTTAATCAATTATATAAGCTGAAATTAATAATTAATAATTGGGAGGAAAGAAGTCAAAATCATTCAAAGTAGGTATGATGGAAACAGGATTGAGTTTACAAAAGATCTAGGCCAACTATCGAAAGTGGTTGGATTCAATTCAATTGAAATAAAAATCTAGGCACTTCAAAAAACGAAGTTGGAAAGTAGTAGTAATAAGAAAGAAAGTAGTAAGGAGTAAACGTGATTGAATTGAAAACAGATCTGGGCACTTCATAAAAGCCACTTGAAAACAGTTGAATTTAATTCGATTGGAATGAAGATCTAGACACTTCATAAAAAAAAATTAAAATTAAAAAAAAATATATATATCATCAAGACACTTCATAAAAGGCATTTGGAATCAGTTGAATTCGATTTGATTGGTATGAAGATCTAGGCGCTTCATAAAANGATTGGCATGAAGATCTAGGGACTTCATAAAAGCCACTTGAAAACAGTTGAATTTAACTCGATTGGAATGAGGATCTAAACACTTCATTAACAAACAAAAAAAAAAAAAAAAATCAAGACACTTTAAAAAGGCATTTGGAATCAGTTGAATTCGATTCGATTGGTATGAAGATCTAGACGCTTCATAAAAGGAAATTGGAATCATTCATTAAACTCGATTGTATTGAAAAAAAATCTAGGTATTTCTTAACGTCACTTCGAAACTGTTAAGTAAACTCCATTGGGTTGAAAAAACTTCTCAGCACTTCATAAAAGGCAGTAAGATAATAATAATAATAATAGCTTTATTAAAACAAAATTAAAACTTTTCGTTATATTAAAGAACAAAAGCATTATGGACATGGATCGTCCGATCCGTCTGCCAGAGGTTTACAAATATATATGCAGTTTA